TTTTCTATGTCTTATTGATATTAATCGAGCACTAATCAACTCCAAATAATAACGAGTTTTTTAAAAACATGGTCGTAAAAAAATGTTTCGAAATTTCCAACCTCGGTTAAAAATTCAAAAATTCTAACTCAATCTTCAATTGAAAAGTCTTGTTTGGATGAATAGATTAAGTAAAATATAATTTTTGGCATATAAAATAATTTGAATTTAATTTACCAATAAATTTTTAACTAAATTCTTTATCCCTAGAGGATAGAAATATAGGGATATTGAATTTAGTTTTAAAAAATGATTGGTGTTCCTCTTAAGCTAACGAAATCACGACTTTTTAATGTTTTATTGACAGCCACAACTCAATTCTTTGCGTGTTTCCTTATTTTAAAACCGTTATTATTGTCTTGTTCCTGTCAAACCACATCGTGTTTGACTAATCAATATTTAATTATTTTTTTTAGTGTATCCTTGCACTTTAGACGGCTGGCAATGACCGATTTTGCCTTAACAAGAATCAGCCAATTAGAATTCGACACGTGCGCTTTCTGTATAAATTGCAAAAACATTAAAAAAACAATTAACAATTTCCTTTCCTTTTGTCCTCCAACACTGTAATTTGTAGATGAAAACAAATCTTGTCAGTTCGTTTCATTGTACGGATGGTTCTGTCACGTGGTTGTAAGAATTTAATTCGGTGTAAAAGTGCTAGTTAAAGTAATCCGTTGATATATATATTTTTATTTAGTATTATTGAGAGTGAGTCCACGTTTCTTAGTTTAGTTGAAGATCTCGAGTTTATAATTGAGAAATAGTATCTCTACGAGGCCTCTTCAAAAAACTTAAAACAAAGTTATGAGAGCTTTTATTCAAAATGGACAATTTTATACTATTCTACATAGTCGCGATTTCTTAATATATATATATATTGTTTGCTAGTAGATAATAATTTTTAGGGTAAGAAGGTGAGATTCTTACCTTATCCCAAACTTTCCATGGGGTCATCTTGGCTTGGCTGTGCCAAATTAAAGAATTTTATTCTACTTTATATTTTTGAAAAAAATAATAAGTTGGTCAAACTTGAATGTGAGACTTAATTGGCGATTCGAGCTGTTTTTCTCTTAATAATTACCTTCGTCTTTGTGGTTCTATTGAATATAGACTTTAGTCCGTGTACGGTCCTCTTTAGTCATGGATCTTCTTACGAAGTCTTTCTCAACCGTAGAATTCCAATAATATAAACCTGAACTAGGGATAGATCAACAACTTGTAGTGGCTTTTACCGGAGCTGTTGGTAATAATAGTGCTATCTTTTTACTTAATTATTCATTAAATTGTCCTTCTATTTTCTTGCCTTTTAAAATGAATAATATTACCATTAATTGAGATTTAATGGTTGAATTAATGAATAGATGGAGTTTCCAACCTGGGAGCCCACTTTAACGAATTATTATAATATTATTGAATATTATTATTATTATCATTATTATGTAGGTCCCACATTCATTAATGTAATTAATTTGATAGAGAGATTTAATCCAAACAATAAAAAAAGAATCCAACTCTACATAGAACTTATCTTTAAAAATTCTACAAAAATAATAATAAAAGAAAAATTTTAGAGAGAATAATGAGCAGAAGAGAATTCTTATTGGACAGCATGAAGATTTGAATTATGGCTGTACATCCAACGGCTCAAAATTGATTCGATACGACCAAACAAATGAACAAACTAAACCTGAACGGGTTTAGTAGTTTCCAATTTGTTGTCGGAGGAGACGTGGCAGCGGCAGAGAGGGCAACAGTCGCCGACGGAGAGCCATGAGGATATACAACTTTGATGGTACACATGACCGCAGGGGATCTGTTTACCACCTTCATCCGCCCGGAATTCCTCCATACAAACTGCACATACGTCGTCTGTGACCACCGTTGGCAAATCGGAAACCACCACGGACGGCGGCTCTGTGATGATCATCTGGTCGTTATAATAGTCATCGGCACCGGTGAGGACCGTGTCGAGATCGAACATGGATTCAAGGTCCATGATGTAGCTCGCTGCAAAAGCTGATCTTGTTGCTTCTGGCAAGACAGCAGCCATGGAAAAATGGAGAAGTAAACAAGCAAAAGAGAGAAATTTGTGGAACGGATGCAATATATTGCTTAGCTGTGTATATATATATATATATTAAAACTGAAAGGATCCCGAATTTGACTTTATTTTTTAATTAGATTATTGAATTAAAAATAAAATAATTTGACATAGACGTGAATTGGATATAATTACATGTTTTTGTATTAAATGTCCGAAATAAAATTACAACATAAAAAAAATAATAATAATTTTGAAAATTACTTTTAAATTTTAAAAAATTAAGTTTGTAATTTAGAACTTTTTAAGGGTAATTTTATAATTATATATTTATAGATTGATTTATAATATATTTAATAAATAGATAAATTCAATTTGGAAGGGGGACATTTCCTTTGTCCTTTCTAGCGTGGGGCAAGTCCATTTTAAAGAATGCAATGCAACTTGCTTGCTCATTCAATTCATTTTATATTATATGATATAAATAACAAAATTAACAAAATAATAATAATAATAATAATAATAAATAAATAAAATCACTTTAAAATTTTAAAATATGTGGAGTGAAAAATAAAAAAAATTATTGTTTTTTTTTTTTTTTAGATTTTAATTTTTATTTGTCAATTTATTCATATAATTAACATTTTCAAAGCAAATAATTATTTTTCAAAAAAATTGAAAACTTCCTACACTAGAAACTTCAAAGCTTCTAGGTTAGATTAAGTCTTTGTAAAGAAAAAATAATGCAGTTGACAAATACAATTATTGAATAACAGGATACCAAAATTTTAGTATTATAATTAATAACATTGTAGTTTTTTTTTTCTTATAAATATTTTCTAAGCCAACTTGGTCTCAACTAGTAGGATGTGGTTCGAGAACGAACTAAGGAAGTTATTATATATACCAACAATTTGCATCTCCTTTTTTTCAATGACTCAATTATAAGAACTTCAAATTTAAGTACGATTTGCTGAAAATAATTTTATATCGGGTGATATTTTTGAAATTTGGTAAGTGAAGACAAAACATGTTGAAATGACATGGGTTAATCTATGAGAATAATTTTCTCTTTTTTAATTATTTTAATCTCAAACATTTAATTTTAATATTGTTTTGAAATGTCTATGTTATATTCATAATTTAGAGAAAGATTAAACTTGAACCAAATTCGTCCTCAAACTTGATTAAAGTATTAATTACAATTATTGAGCAAAAGATTTGAACACAATTTTTTTTAGTATCTGGGGGACACAAGCATCCTAATATTTGGGACCTAAACATTTAATTTCAGACTAATAGTCCTTACAGGTGGCAAGAAATTTTAATTTTGTGCGTTCTGATATTATATTTATGATATTATATTTAAATCAGTGTGGAATTTTAAATATATCTATGTAACAAAAAACATTATAATTTCTATGGAACATTAATTATATCAGGCTCGGCCCACATACGAAGCCCAAGATAATATGACAGCTCAGGCCCAAGCCAAATTGAAAGTCAGGAGGCCCAAAACGGAAGCCCAATATAATATGGAAAACTCAGGTCCAACCCAATGTAGAAGTCCGGTGGCCGAAAATGAAGCCCAAGCTAATATAGAAACTTAGGCCCAACCCAAAGTAGAACTCAGGTGGCCCAAAACTGAAGCCCAATATAATATGGAANAACTCAGGCCCAACCCAAAGTAGAAGTAAGGTGGCCCAAAAATGAAACACAAGCTAATATGGAAACTCCGGCCCAACCCAATTAAGAAGTCGGGAGGCCCAAAACTGAAGCCCAATATAATATGGAACTCAGGCCCAACCCAAAGTAGAAGTAAGGTGGCCCAAAAATGAAACACAAGCTAATATGGAAACTCCGGCCCAACCCAATTAAGAAGTCGGGAGGCCCAAAACTGAAGCCCAATATAATATGGAAACTCAGGCCCAACCCAATTAAGAAGTCGGGAGGCCCAAAACTGAAGCTCAATATAGTATGGAAACTCAGGTCCAACCCAATGTAGAAGTCCGGTGGCCGAAAATGAAGCCCAAGCTAATATAGAAACTTAGGCCCAACCCAAAGTAGAACTCAGGTGGCCCAAAACTGAAGCCCAATATAATATGGAACTCAGGCCCAACCCAAAGTAGAAGTAAGGTGGCCCAAAAATGAAACACAAGCTAATATGGAAACTCCGGCCCAACCCAATTAAGAAGTCGGGAGGCCCAAAACTGAAGCCCAATATAATATGGGAACTCAGGCCCAACCCAATTAAGAAGTCGGGAGGCCCAAAACTGAAGCTCAATATAGTATGGAAACTCAGGCCCAACCCAATGTAGAAGTCTGTTGGCCCAAAAATGAAGCCCAAGCTAATATGGAAACTCAGGCCCAACCCAGAGTAGAACTCCGAAGGCCCAAAAATGAAGCCCAAGCTAATAAGGAAACCCAGGCCCAACCCAATGTAGAAGTCGGGAGGCCCAAAACGGAAGCCCAATATTATATGGAAACTCAGGCCCAACCCAATGTAGAGGTAAGGTGACCCAAAATGAAGCCCAAGCTAATATGTAAAGTCCGGCCCAACCCAATGTAGATATCTGGAGGCCCAAAGCAGGAATCCAAGATTATATGGAAACTCAGGCTCAACTAGCTGTTGATATCAAGTGGCCCAAATCTCAAGCCCAAGCTAATATGGAAACGCAGAAGTAACCCAAAATGAAGTAAGGTGGCCCAAGCTGATATAAAATATCAGGCTCTTCCCGAAGTGTAAGTCGGGTGGTCCAAAGCTGAAGCCCAAGCGAAGGCCGGCCCAAAGTGGAAGTTATGTGGCCCCAAGATGAAGCCCAATTGAATATGCAAACTCAGGCCCATCCCAAAGTGAAAGTCATGTGGCTCAAATTTGAGGCCCAATCTAGTAAGGAAACTGATGCCGAACCGAAAGTAGAAGTCAGTCTGGTGTTTGATGGGGATCCGGTGGGCAGAGTGCAGTGGAAATTCGAGGGTCTAGATTTTACCGGCGAATTCATTTCGGCATTCAGTTCGCCGGATATTCGATAAGCTCACTGCTTAGTCGCTAAATCCGATCCATATTCTTTAGGTAAGTTCTCAGTTTCGCATCGCTTAGCTAAATCATCTGCATCAAAACTAGCTTAAATCAGTGACCGGATGGTCCGAGAATCTTTGCTGAATTTGTGGATTCTGGAGCATTTTCTTGCTTACCAAACAAAATTTTTATTTCTTAGTTTCAATTTCGGAATGGTAATGCTTCGTTGCAGTACTATGTTTTGCATTTATTGTGAATCTGATTTAGCAGTGAGCTATATAAAATGATGATCATTGTAGCCGCATTGGTTCTCGGTGTGTTGTTTGGCGCTCTGATTTTAATCCCACGCGACCGTAAGCTTGGTGAAGTGTATTGTTTCAGTTCTTTAATCCTTTTATGCATAAATTCACATCGATTTGAACAAACAATGCTCTTATTTTCTGGATGCAGGAAATGCACAAAAGGTTCAATTAAATTCTACCAACAAGGTAAATTTGGACTTGTTTTCCTTTAGTTTCAATTTTTAAATGAATTAAGCAACCCTTTGCCCGCTTAGAACTGGAACTTAAATTGTAAATCATCATGGTTTGTGCAATTTTCTATTTCCAGATTTCAACTATGGAGAATGTATTGCTTTTCCATTGGATCCGACTAAAACTAGGATTTGTTGAGGATTGTTGGGAGAGAGTCCCACAGTAGCTAATTTAGGGAATGATCATGGGTTTATAAGTAAGGAATACATCTCTATTGGTATGAGGCTTTTTGGAGAAGCCCAAAGCAAAGCCAAGAGAACTTATGCTCTGGATAATATCATACTATTGTGGTGTGGAGAGTCGTAATTTCTAACAGGATTTAGAAATAGAAATGGAAATAGAACATTCCAAGAGATTTAGTGAAACTGAAACAATTTGTACAATTTTCTTTTTCGAGCTTATCTGTTGATGCTGCAAACTTTAGTGATGGGGCTTATTTGTGTTCAATTAAAGGATCTGCGTTGATATTTCATATAGGAAGAAGTGTTCTTTGTGGTTTCTCATTATATTCTAAAAGTTTTTCTTGCTTATAGGCATCTAAAGTGTACGGTAAAGACGAGGTCTCGGTTCATAACAAGAGAACTGATTGCTGGATCATTATCAAGAACAAGGTATTATCGGATGTCTAAGCTCGTAGCAAAACTTGGGGTTTGCTTGTATGTTGTCATAATTGTAATCTATTTTTCGATTTTTATCGAGCATAGGTGTATGATGTTACGTCTTATGTTGAAGAACATCCAGGAGGAGATGCCATCCTAGCACATGCTGGGGATGATTCTACAGAAGGGTTTTATGGGTAAGACAATCTGACACCTCCTCTCTCAATCATTGTTAGATCATATTAATTTGATCTGTCCAGATAATCTGGATTGGATACTCTTATCATTGTTTTAGCTTTGATAAACAATAATTAAGATCAGCAAAGCTTTTTCAAAATGGTTGCTTCTGCGATCCTTTTTTCCCCTGTTTTGTATGCAAACTACAGAATCATGGTGTAAAAATCGATAGCACTTGGATTTGTCAATGGTGGTATATTGATTTTAGTTTGGTTAGCATGTTCATATCACACACTCTGTCATTTGTTGAACACATCGAGCATTTGTTATGTATACTAAATAGATATATAATAATAAATTTTAAGAAATGCATAAACTTAAGGACTTTGAATTCTCTTCTTGTATAAAAATAGTAATCTGGAAAAAATATATTATTTGAATAAATGTGTCCTTGTCGTTTCTATGTCCTAAAATTTTAGATTATGACGTGCATAATGTGCGTCATGTTGTATAAGTGTCTCTTATTTGTATATGTGCTTTTTAGCATGTGGAGGTGAAGATTCGAACACATCTGACTTTGTGATCGATGATATATGTTCTAACCAATTGAGTTATGCTCAGGTTGAGCTCAAAGATCCTATATATAAAAAAGCGGTCAAATTGGCTTTACTCAAAGTTTTACCTTTCTTTCTTCCATCGTTGCAGCAATCTTCCGAACATGTTTATTTCAACCTCAATATTTTTTTGTGCAGGCCACAACATGCAACTCGAGTCTTCGACATGATCGACGACTTCTATGTTGGAGATCTGAGGCTGTAATATCCAAGAAACATCTGGCTTTGCGCTATCACGTAGAGGACGTATTTCGCAGCGTTCCAGCTCTAGAGATGCCTTTCAGGGAAGATATCTAATGATTTGAATTGTCTGGTTAGCATTCTTGCGATGTTGTAACATTTGTAGCTGTACACTTTCATTTAGATCTTCAACTTTGTAGTTTTATCTCTTTAGTTTGAATTTGTTCTTTCTTTTTTCATGATTGCAAGAGGAGAGAAACTTTTCATAGTGGTCTATTTTGATGTTCTAATTTGCATTGTCATGGTGGAGGTGGTAAGGGAAAGCTTCTAGGCAGATTATTTCATAACTTTTAATATTACTCTCGAAAGTTCTGAGCAAGTACTTTTTAAACGTGCTATTGTAAAGGTATTTTTGAATTTTTTTTAAAAAATATAAAATTATTTAAATGTAGTTTTTGAATGATATTTTTGAAACTTTTTTAAAATTTAGGAGTAGTTTGGAACATTTTAAAAAACATTTTAAGTTAAATGATATTTTTGTAAGTAAAAAAAAAAAAAAAAAAAAGATTTATTATTTTAAAATATTTTTATTAAATTAGTCAGCCGGGTCCCACTGGTCGTTCTCAAATAAATCAAGTTCTATAAATATAGTTAAAAACCCATGACCATTAAAAACCCACGTTACAGTTAGGCGGTGGCGATTGAACGCAGAGGACTGGAAAACCCTAGCTGATCGGATCGACGCCATGGGAACGCCGGAAACTTCAAGGGAACCTTGCCCCGATCGCATCCTCGACGATATCGGCGGCGCTTTTGGCATGGGAGCCGTCGGCGGGTCAGCTTTTCACTTCATCAAAGGTCTATACAATTCTCCCAAGGGATCCAGGATTATCGGCGGCTCTCAAGCCGTCCGAATGAATGCACCACGCGTCGGCGGAAGCTTCGCTGTTTGGGGTGGTTTATTCTCTGCTTTCGATTGTACAATGGTGTATGTCCGCCAGAAGGAGGATCCATGGAACTCGATCATCGCTGGCGCCGCTACGGGCGGTTTTCTTCAGATGCGACAGGGACCTGCATCAGCAGCTCGTTCTGCTGTTTTTGGCGGCGTTTTGTTAGCGTTGATTGAAGGAGCTGGGATTATGCTCAATAAAGTCCTCAGCCAGCAACAGAATATGCCTGTTGTCACTGAGGAGCCTGCTGGTATGGCTAGTGTACCTGGATATCCTACAGGCCAATTACCTGGCCGTGCTACTCCCCTGTCTCTACCGCAAGCGGAGTTGACAAGTATTTCTTCTTCGTCTTCTTCAGATTCTGGTAGTGATTCGTGGTTTGGAGGTTGGTTTGGTGGAGGCAAGAAGAAGGAATCTGCAGTGTCAAGTGGAGGAAGTGAGACAACGATTTTGGAAAGCTTTGATGCACCGCCTGTGCCAAATTTTGAGTACAAATAAAACAGGCTTGAATTAAGCTGAGATTTTGAGATAAGAAGACAATGAATTCAATCGTAGAACGTTTGGCATGTGTTATAGATTACTTCAAATTATTGATTATTATGTGCAATCTGCTGACATTGTTACGAATTTATCTAATAATCTTTCACACTACGCTGAATTGTACAATAAGCTCAGGTTATAGTTGAAAGGATTGCATATGTTGCTATTACAATATCCATTTAGTACTGAAGTTGTTTACTTGAATTTTTGTTTCCCTTAGATTTCTTCACTCATTTGATGGTATAGATTCATCTTCTTTTGGTCGAGCTGTTCTCCATGATCTTTCATGATAATCGACCAGTTCAATGCGCATGAATTAGTCATTCAAGTGCAGAATCGTTTGGTGTTCATTGTAGTTTTCATATGTAAAGGCTTCATTTCAGGTTGCTCCCTTTTTGGGTTGTCATTGTGTATGAATGATTTAGAAGTTGAGGGCATTTTTTCTCGAGTTCTTATGGCTTGTGTTTATGTTCATGCTCTGCATATAAGAGTTTTTGGCATCATTTTCTGGTTTTGTGGTTGGCAGTTGCTGTTGTTTCGAGTCTCCGATGTTATAATTTGCTTGTTCTTTGGCTGGGCGGTGTCGGTGTTTGTCTGAGTTTGCATCTCAGTGTTCTGGTACTTGGCTTCATGAATCTATTTTCTGGCTTTTCTGTAGCAGGGAATCTGGTAGTCTAATGCATTTTAGGGTCTGCGCCATGGCGGTTGGAAGATACCAAACATCCTGATTCACACCATGGATTCAGCAGTACAATGTTGAGCATATTTGTAAGGTTTGTGCACCCTACCTCTCATTGAAAATCTATTCAAGTTAGTTTCCGTCTTGCATTCATCTATCCATGGGATGGTCGGCAAAGGTCTTTAGTATCCCGTCAGGTTAAGGATTGGGACCTCACAATTACTGGCCAATATGCTTTTTTCCAATGTGTTTCTTAGTTCATGGTTCGATATTTTGGTGTCCTAGGCATAGAGGAATCACGTTAATCCATCCCAAACTTAGTGGTTAAACTCTACTGTGGTGACGATACCGTAGGGGAGGTCCTACAAAAAAAAAAAAAAAACAGCTAACTCCTTCTCTCCCACTTTTCTGTTTCACTTCACACCTTGGAACACACCATTCTCATCGAGAGAGGGACTTTCACATCTTCTTAACCCGAAATGGCAAATGGCTGAGGAGAGGAAAGGTTCCTTAAGGTACCTTGGGAACAGGTCTAGTGGAGACGGGATGAGACATGTAGCTTAGAGGATTAAAGCACGTGGTTACGAACCATAGTGTCGGGGGTTCGAATCCCTCTTTGCCCATAACCGGCAAAAAAAGGAAGGATTTTTTCCTCTAGAAGTAGGAAAATCATGATTGGGGTAGCGGATCTTATCACATAACAAAGTAAGAATATATATATATATATATTAAACATGAATTCTCCTTTACACTGTACAGAGCTTTTGAACCTGAGAAACCAAAACTAATTAAAATCCAACAAAAACCAAATAAAATTATGTGTTAAAATAATACAAAAGGGAATTAAAGAATGAATGAAGAAGAAGAGAAAATAAAGGGTTTTGAAAGAGGGAAAAAAATGAAGATTACATAAATATACTATTTCACTGCTCAAATCCGGCTTTTGCTTAATTAGATGATCACGGGTTATCATCGCAAACAAGAATAGACGAAAAATTCCTCGAAAAAATTGATAGGATTTCAGAGAAAACTGGAATCGTGTTCATCGTGACAAAGCTCCCTCCTTAGTTTTTGTGTAAAATGTCTACAAGCATCCATGCTTAGATCAATGGCCGCTGCGAGTGCGACAAATAAAGCAGCATCCGCCATGCACGTCACGTGCTGAACTCCGACTTGTACGATGGGCTTGCTTACCTTCCCTTCTCCTTCCACGCTCGAAGCCATTACAAAATTACCTTTAATCATCAATATAATTAAAACTCATTAGAGTTTAGAAACTAAAATAGATACGCAAATTGGCATAAAAAGTTATAAATCTACCTTTAATGTTGGATCGAGAATTTGGACTGAAATCTCTCACGGTCTTACGGTCAATACAAAATTGGCCACCTTTTTTCACGCTCATGGTAGCTTCAGCAATGGGAATGCCAGTTGCTAGTCCGGTATCAGCCACGAGCTCGAACTTGTAGCCGAGGCCATCGATCGGTCCCCGCTCGCGCCAAGCCTCAAGGCGGCCCCATGGCTTCCAACTGCTAACAGAGAAGCCATGGGGGCGGAGGATGAGCCAGGCACCAGGGTTGGAGCGGGAGACACGGTCCGTGCCAGGAGAAGGGACGAATGGCGTAATCATGGAGGCCGCCGCAACAGCGGACCCCGAGAGGTCGTAAACCATGATCATCCAACCCTTTCTTTCTCTCCCGGGCTTCTCTCTTTCGCCGGAAAAAGTTCTCATCCATTTTCCTTTGGTGCTGTTGAAGCTGAAATCTGATGGCAGTGACCTGTTTGCATAATTTTTATTTAATGATTTCAATTAGTTTCTTATAAATATTAACCATACAAATAAAAAAAATTACCATCATATAAAATTTTAAATTAACCCTACTTTCAACTCTTTACGACAACTTTCAATAATTTATCTAATTTTTTTTTACTCTTAATATCCGTCTCTAAATTTTTGTCGAAAATAATTATTTAAATTATTTTCATTAATTTTTTTGCTCCTAATCTACCCAAACGACCTAAAATATAAATTTTTAAAATATAATTTATACAAAATTAGCTTCTTTTTTTTTTTTTTTTTTTTTTTGTAAAATTGAGTTATAGGGAAATAATTACACATAATTTAAGGTAAAATAAAAAAATGGAAACTTTTTACAAATTAAAAATGAATCACTACATGACTTGATAAACAATAAAAGATGGAATGCACATGGGATGGAATCAAAGGTGGTTGAGTTCGACAGTTGCGGAAGATTTTGTAATCTTTTCTTTTGTATTTGACCAACCCCAAATTATTAATTTCGGTTCATTATTTTCTAATAAACAAATAAATGGAAGAAACCAACCGACCTTCTAAATTGCAACTGAGCTTATTTAATCTATCAGCTACCTACTCATCTAAGCACTAAAGACTAATACTAACCTAATACATAACTTTTAGATTAAAAAGCTTTCCGTTTTAGAAATCACGTAAATATATCTATTTAATGGAGCTAATTTAAATTATTATTTTTTTTTTTAATTTTGTTTCATTAATGTTAAATTCTGAATTATTCTTAAATTTAGGTTAAGTTTGGTATTTGTTTTGGTGTAAAGTATGACTAAATGTTAAATACATTTAAAAATTAATTAAAGTGCAATGTATCAAGCATGTTTACTCCAAAAGAAAATATTATTGACCGGTTATGAAACAAACTAGACGACAAGTCGTTAGCTAAGGAAATTTTTAAAAAAGAATAAAACGACAACGACATGGTTCATTCTGGAGACTCGTGTGACAACCCACTTCCACCGTGGCACATGTAAAAGAAATGGTCGAAAAATGTAGGAAAAAGTAAACTACCGTCACCTGTGGGTGACACTGTAAAAAACAAAACCTTGCCTATTTACCGTTGAATGAGATCCTAATTTACTTTCTAATATGATTTTAAATTTTATAGTTTAATTATCGTTAAAGGGTTAAAAAGTAGTATAATTCACTTATTATAAATCGGCTATAAATAATTAATTAAAATATTTACTTTCAGAAATAAGATTTTATTAAGGGATGGATGGGTCGGATAACTTACCGGGTTCTCGAGTTCCGATCAGCACTGAACTTGCAACTGAAAACCGGCTGTCGGATATTGCCTTGGATCTGGAAAACCACCGGGCTACATTCCGGTTCGCCGCCGAACTGAAACACGAATCGGGGGTCCGGTTCAGACCGGACAAGCAAGTGAAGTCGTGCAGATGTTTTATCCTCATCTTTTCCCAAGTTCACCCACCCATTCTGAAACGTTTTCGGTTTATTCTCAGCGCCGTCGATCGAGATAGCGATCCGAACCCGGCCGAGCAATTTGCCGGAATTAACCCCACACGTGTTACCCATCCGACCGGCGAAAACCGAAAGACACATTATAACTGGCTTACCGGAGAGCCGGCGTAGAGATGTCGGGTCGAGGTGGAAACCGGCAGACGACGCGGCGGAGTCTGGCGGTGAGTCGCCTGAGACAGATGAAAGAGGAAGAAGCGCCGTCTGCGAAGGGAAATTCTTGATCGCGATCTTACAGAAGCAGGGCGTTGTCGACGGGTGGACGGCGGCGCCGGCGGGACGGGTTGCCTGAGGAAGGTTGAGAGAAAGGGATTCGACCATCAGTCGGACGAACGGACAGGGATCCATCGGAAATGTGGCTAGAGGAAGAAGAAGAAAAATTGGTGAACATCTAAGTTGGGGAATTGGAGTGTGAACTGTCGGCCATTGATGTATTGAAGGTTTTGCTTTTTATTCTGTTTCTCTCTCTCGTGACAGATGGAGAATGAGCTCCTCTCGACTTTTTTACCAAAAATATTACTATTTACTTCAAATCTTTATAAACTATAATCATTTCTCATTTATTAACATAACATATATCTTTTTTTAATATAAACCCATTTTTTATTTCAACCATATAAAGTTAATTTTATTTATTTATTTATTTATTTATTTTCGTGTATTTTTTTAATGTTCGAGAAATTAAAATTTTAATAATTAATTAGACTATTTTTTTATTTAGAAAATAGTATTTTGAATTTCAATAAAATATTGAGAATTTGAAATGGTATGGAAATGTTATAGAATACTTATTCTTTTATTTGTGGTTATTATAATTAAGATTTATGATAATTAGCGAAATTAGATGGAGATGATTTTATTTTATATTATTTTCATGTTTTAAATTTGTAATCCAATAATAAATATCCAAGTCAGCATATAACGAATTCGGATTCCTCAAGGGAAAGTGGGTCCCATGGGGAGGGAACAGACAGCTGGATGAAAGCTGTAACCATGTTGTCAAGTGACGCCAATGTGGCGCTTGTTTGGGTTAAAAAAATTGCATTTGATTCCAATCTTCAAATAAAAATAATAATTCGTACTAAAAAATACCAAAATAATAATTGTTTTTTGAAAAAATTAGGTTTATTTAGAACTTATGACGTGGCATTCTGTACCGTCTTCTAAATCGCGATCGTGGATTTGGACGGCTGTGTTTGACAGCGCTATTTTTCTTTTTAAATCAATTTTGTAAATTTTTAATTTTTATGAAATTGATCGCATACAAAAATACTTTTAACGTGAAGAAATTAATCATTGAACAAAAATATGTTTGACGGCGTTATGTTTCTCTCTCACGTTAAAGATAGGCTTCTACCGGTTAAATGCAAACATTTTTAGTTTCAATCGAGTGGATGTACACTAAAAAGGACAGAACAGACAAAACTTGTTACAACTGTAGTTGAAAATGAAACATAAAACGTGAATCTTCCGTCTCAACTTAACCATTTTCGTGATTGTTTATTAATCTTTACTCGATATACTTCTATTCTTTATAATTTCTAAATACGGCTAAATCGTATCGATATATTATTGAAAATTGTAAACGAGTATTCGAATGAAATAATGAACAAATGTCTGAATTATTTAGCCCTCGTCAAATTAATTTTTTTCGCACAAAAAGATAAAGAAATAGTGGAAGCGCTTTTAATTGTGGGTGCGGTGGGGGTGGGGCGGGGGCGGGGTCAGGGGGCCCTAAAGTTATTGGCAATGGGCGTGGGGAGCAAGCCTTGTACTCCTTCGTCTTCTTCTACCTTCCTCTATTTTTTTTTTTTTTTTTTTTTTTTTTTCTTTTTTTGAAATTTCTCATTCATTCCAAGCTTAAAAGCAATAATGTTTGTTGCATCCCCACGCTACCAAACACGAACCATTTCTTTAGTTTCATTGACCTAAACCGAAGTTTAAGGAAGTTGTGCTTTAACCGTCGAAACTTTAATCAATTCAATTTTGTTAATAAAGTAATTAATATTAGGGTGTAATTGTGAATCAAACATAGCAATTTAATAGATATGACACTGATTATCATTAGAAATATCAATGATTTGATGTTTAAGGAAAAAAATAGAGAGGGACCATAAACTCTTTTCTAGTTAAAATACATTTGACCAAGTTGAAATAAAAAAAACATATGTAGAACCAAAAAAAAGGATGATGAGTGAGTAAAAGGAGGACTACATGAATGAACCGAGATGTGAGATCCCACATCGATCGGAGAGAATAGCGAAACATTCCTTACAAGGGTGTGAAAACCTTTCCCTAACAGACGCATTTTAAAACTATGAGGCTGGCCACGACATGTAACGAGCCAAAACGGACAATATATGTTAGTGGTTGGCTTGAGTTGTTACAAATGGTATCAGGGCCAGATACTGAGTGGTGTGCTAGTAAAGACGTTAGGTCCCCTGGATTGTAAGATCCAACCTTGGTTGGGGAGGGGAACAAAACATTTTTTATAAGGGCGTAGAAACTTCTCTCTAACAGACGTGTTTCAATATTTGCCAGCAGCAGACTTGGGCTATTACACGAGATCACTTTCGTAGATAATATCTAGTAGCAGTAATCTTGAGTTGTTACATAAGATCACATTCGAATGAAAGTGATCTTTGAGAATGAAAGTTACGAAAAACTTAAAAGAATTGATAGTTCCACTTATATATCAAAATAAAGTTCACTTCCTTTTTGGTAGCTCAATAGGACCCGTGTTAGTTAGCAGAGACAATTTTCACTCTTTAAAGCACTTAAAGGTAACTACGTAAGGCGTCCCCTCGTCCATTATTTTCCACCTAGCTTGACCTAGTGTTCCAACTCAACCAAGCATCATGAAAGGGTCCATTTCATCCTCTTGAATTCTCCTCAAAATTCAGCAACAAAGTAATTGTTTCACCTTTTCAAATTTGAACTTTATTGATTATATACACCTAATTTAATAATAATGTCTCTTAGGATTAATTACATTATAAAATTTAACCTTTTATTTGGTATTTGAGTTTTCAATGCTCAATAAATTACATATTATAAAATTTATAAATCAAAAATAAAAAATAAAGTAGGGAGAATCTAAATCTACAAAGTAAAATCAAACGTTGGCTTGAATGTTGTGAACATAGGACAGACCAATTGGTTGTATTTTTGTTCAACCCCCTATTGCGGGTCCCATGCCAGCCTGGAAGCAGCGTGTTACACGTGTCTCCTCTCAGGTTTTAATAACCTAAATAAATGTTGGTCATATTATAAATTTAGTTATCTTTAAACTTTAAAAAAAAATAAATTGAAAAGAAATTACATATGGTCCTCTTGTAATTAAGAAATTACATAATTACAAATGTACCATAAGAAATTACAAATAGAGACCTTCATTTATATATACTATTATATTTTTTTATTTCATTTATTCACTAAAATGGGCCTCTCTTCTGGGCCCAATAGCTAACAAAGACTGAAACAGAAAAGCCCATTGCCCGTAACCACTCATCTACATATGGCCCAAAAAAGCATGTTGGTAAGAAATACTTAACCATGGTATATAAATAACCTGAGTACTAACTCAAGTGGTTTTTTCAAATTAAAAAATACATTTAATCTCATTTAATTTTTTTTTCTTTTAATTTTATAACAATCTTTTTAAACTAAACAAGTAAGTAGTTACAATAATATTTATCGTCTTATTTCAATTTCTATATTTTTTTTTTCCATAAACCAATAATTACAAAAATATTAAAAGAAAAAAAAATGGAATTCACATATACGTTATAACAACTCTCCTATTTTGAAGGGTCTAAAAACCTGGTCTACTGGAGGTTATATGTGGTTCATTTGCCCGGTTGAATAGGAACTAAATTATCTGATTAAAATAAAATAAATAAATCTTCCCGCCTTTCTATTCTTGCCCTATTTATTTCCATTTCACTCGAAACACAAACAGGAAGAACGAACCGAGCTTCATCCTTAATCTGAAGAAGAAGAACAAGAAGCTCAACGATCCGCAAAGAACAAACGCGAACAGCGATCCAATTTCTCAAGAAAGATGTCGTGGCAAACGTATGTTGATGATCATTTGATGTGCGACATCGATGGCCAAGGCCAGCACCTCACTGCCGCTGCCATTATCGGCCACGATGGCAGCGTCTGGGCTCAGAGCGCCGCATTTCCTCAGGTTTTGTTCCTCTTCCAAGCATATTCGTCTTCTTCTTGTGGATTAGATAGCTTTAGCATCGGTGCGGTTTCGGATGTGGAATTGTGATCTTTGATCTTATGGAAGAATGATAGATTTATAAACCGGCTATGTATAAATCCTGATCTGGTCGTCGTGTTTCTCTATTTGACTTTGGTTTTCGATTGTTTGATTTTTGATAGTTCGTAGTCAATATTATGATCTGAATCTTGCTTGATCGAGCCTTAATTTGGATGGAGAAGGAACTTAAACTATTTTCATAGTCGTATTCCCTCTGTGCCGATGGACTTTGTGTGTCCTTAATAGGGAGAATAAATGATCATTTTATTATCTCTTGTTTTTTAATCATTTGCACGATGGATTTATGGTTCTCATCAATGTGTGTAATTTATATTATTCGATGTTGATTAGAATTCCTGAAGGATTTTGATTGACTCTTCGTTTTTGAATCATCTACGTGATGAACTAATGGCTCTGATCGATGTGTATCATAATTTAAGTGATTAAATGTTGATTTCATGATGATCCTGGTTGATTTTCTTATTGTGTAATATTAATTGCAGTGCAAGCCTCAAGAGATCACTGGTATCATGAAGGATTTTGATGAACCAGGGCATCTTGCACCTACTGGATTACATATTGCAGGCACAAAGTACATGGTAATCCAAGGAGAGCCTGGAGCGGTCATCCGTGGAAAGAAGGTGATGTAGAAAAACATCATAAAATCTGCACGTTTTTGGATTCCTGATTCCTTTTTTGTCTCATTTTGTCCGTAAGGTTCAGACGTTGTCCCTTTTCTGTCCCATAGTACGTTATGCTTAAACGTTTTCCACTGTGACCAATGGTACAGAACACACCATTACATGAACCAAAAGCATGATGTTAATATCCTGATTTGAGAATTCCAACTTGGGATCCATTATGAAATAGTAATTGTTGACACCTCGAGATTTTTTAAAGGCTCAAACGTGACAGCTAAAACTTAATTCATTTCCTTTTGTTTGTTTTCTAAAGAAATGAAATTTCGTTTCGGAAACTCATAGCTGCATTATGGTTGCATTTGGGTTGTTACATTGTGAATTCACCTTTCTGACTAAATTTTATATGGCATGGAGAAAATTCCAACTCCATAGTTCAATTGGTCGAGGCATATGTTCTTAATCAAGCATATGTTCTTAATCAAGAAATGAGAGATTCAAATCTTCCACTTCCCACCTCTGCTTGTTGAACTAATTCTCATGCAATGACCTTGCTTACATCATGCCATGGGCTAAAGTCTATTCTATTTCTCTTATGTTTGATTATCGTGGCAGGGTTCTGGAGGAATTACCATAAAGAAGACTGGTCAAGCTCTAGTTTTTGGCCTCTATGAAGAACCTGTTACTCCAGGACAGTGCAACATGGTCGTTGAGAGGCTGGGCGATTACCTAGTCGATCAGGGTCTGTAGGCTTTATAAGTCCATCTCGGTTCCAAGTATCGAATTTGGGCCTACAAATTATTCTTTTCTTTTTCTTATTTCCTTTTATGTTTGTTTGGTTCCAAGTTTGCAATATGCTTCTATCTAATGCCTCAGATTTGGCAGAGAAGTTAATGCAGACAATAACCTCCTGAAAGATATTAACAGTATTTTCATGAAATTACTGTTTACTCTTCTTTTTCTCTCTCATTTCTCCCATTTTAATTCCTTTTTATTTTCAATTGAAATTACAAACAGGTGATGTGATGCGCTTGTTTTTATTTTATTTTTCTTGATGTCAGTCAATATATAGATAGATATTGAATCCCTCTCAAAACATTATTCAAAGATTAGGACTCTCTTTTGGATGGTTTTGTGTTGATGTTATTGATTTATATTGATACTTAGGTCAAATTTGTAATTTAACTTTGATAATTTGGTTTTTTTTCTTTATAGGAATAAGGTAGGGAAAAAAATTCATTGGTGCACACACAGATTTTTGCTATGCCCCCTCACAATTGCTATTTATCAAAATGATTCAGAAGAGATTCCTTGCTTTTGAAAAGGTGTTCTTTTGAAATGGTCTATTGCTTAAAGAGGATGACCTCTTTATCTTTTCTTTTTTATTTTGACCAAATAATTTTTGCAACCAATTTCAAAGGAATATTTATTAATATTCAATTCCCTATTACATTTTTTCTTTTCAATTCAACCGATTCTATATAAAGCCAAATTTTGTAAATAATACTAATAAATAAGCGATAATATAATATCATAAAATTTAATATTTCAACATAATATTATGGTCATATATTCTTTAAAAAAAGATTAAAATTAAAAATATGTGTAAACAATTTGCAAAAAAGAAAGGAAGGGCATTAATGTAATTTCCTATGGAGAGATCGCAATTATTTTGGGAAAAATATTTATAACTGCGTTACATCAACGCTATCTTGGGCGAAACTGCGGTGAAGTGCACAGGGAGGAGATCATATTTGGAGCTCATTTCGTCAGTTGTGATAAATTGAATCCCCTCTCAATCGATTCAACGCAGAAACGAGCAAGGAAGGGGGGGAAAAAAAAAAAACAAACTCTTAAGAGATCGAACCAGAAGAAAGAGGAAGAAGAAGCGGAGAAAGATGTCGTGGAATGTTTACGTCGATGATCATCTTATGTGCGACATTGAGGGCAATCACCTCACATCTGCGGCCATCATCGGCCATGACGGCAGCGTTTGGGCCCAAAGCGATTCTTTCCCTCAGGTTTACTATCTCTCTCTCTTTTTGGAAATTTGAAATCCGATTATTGATTTGATTGCTTGCTCGAAATCCATGGCTGGATCTGTCTGGATTTTTAACTGTCTCATGGTTGAGACGAGCTTGACAATGATGATGGATTTTATTGGGAATGATTTGATCTGATTGATTTTAAGGTCTATGCATTACATCGTGAATCTCTAGTTTTGAATCGGTTTTCGATGTAATTAGGTTCAGTTTTGTTCAATGTGATTAAAATTAGAATCTGTTGTTTTTTTCATTGTTTCTGTTTATGTCGGTTTGATGTTGCTACTGGCTATGAGGCAGTGAAGATCTGGAGTTTCTGATTTCCTTCATCTAGGCTTCTAGATTTACATCTAATCATTTCGATTCTATTCTCACATATTTTGACCTTCGATTTGAGAAGGAAAATTGATTCGTAGCTCGTGAGAAATAATTTGTTAGTCTGTTGCGTTGCATCTCTCTTTAGGCCGTGTTGGTGATTGAAATCGCATTCTATCATTAATGGAATTTTTAGAAGTCAAGGTTGTTGGTCCATCTAACTTTCCTGGTATCCTGAAGACTTCATGGGGACCTCAATGCATGTTCTTGTTTTATTATTTGCAGTTCAAGCCTGAAGAAATTACTGCCATCATGAATGACTTCAATGAACCCGGGGTGCTTGCTCCAACTGGTTTGTACCTTGGTGGTGCAAAATATATGGTAATCCAAGGGGAGCCTGGAGCTGTCATTCGTGGGAAGAAGGTGATAAACTCTTATTGTAGAATTAATACTTTCTGCTGTGTGTTGCAGACTCTGAGAAATGTGCAATGCAAACAATTTATTCTGAGAATGTTCTAAAAAACAAGCTTATTTTTCTTATTTTTCAGTCAGGATAGTTACAATTATTAGAAGTATGGATTCTTCAGCATAATCTTGTATAATTTTTACTCTCGGGCACTGATGCTCTGTTCTATTGGTGGAGATATCTTTGTTGTTTAATTATGCAAATTACAGTTCTTACTTTCCATTGAAATTTGAACCAATCATCTCTTAATTTTAGGGCCCAGGTGGGGTTACTGTTAAGAAGACTAGTTTGGCTCTAATCATTGGCATCTATGATGAACCAATGACTCCCGGTCAGTGCAATATGATTGTTGAAAGGCTTGGAGATTATCTCATCGAACAGGGTCTCTAAATATCAGTATGTTTGCTACCTTTTTACAATCGATCCGAGTTCTTCATATATTTGCATCCATTTTTTCTCTCATTGCTGATACAATTTTTTTGGATTGTTAATTTCAGGGAAACCGTATTGTTTTTTTTAATAGTCTATGGACTCTTGAGTGGAGATGGGTTTGATGCTTGAGGATTGATGCTTGTGTTTTTCGTTATTAGTGTTGTCTCTTTCACCTTTTACCTTTAAATATTGTGGTGGTTTTCAAGTGAGGTCTATGTCGTAGTTACAGTGACTTCGAAACGTATGTTGTAAACCAATCAGCATAAATTTATCAATACCCTTTCATTTTATCCGTTGATTTTTGCAGCAGGCTTCTGTATAACATGAGGAGGAGATAATAGTTTCTCTAAACCCAAATTTGGGCGTTCTAGACAAACTCCTTCCGTTTTCTTTACTTTTCTTCTTAATTATTACTTTTACAGTACTTGGTTTGGTTTCCTTCCAGTCTCTGGCAAGATTAATCAAAAGAGTCGTCATTTTTCACTAATACTGAAGCTTGGAACTGTTGAGATATATTCGAGTTGGCTTGTAACTTGCTTTATTAAGGGGTCTTGCATTCAACCTGCTCTGTTTTTGTTCTAATTGTGGAAATGCTGAACAGGTGGGTGAAAATAACAAAACTTCTGTAGATTTACTCAATATTCTTTCTCAGTACAGAGATACCAACCAAGAAGTTTGAGGTAGGTATTAATTGTTCAAAATCTTGTTAAATGAACGAAAAGCAATAATTCAATAGGCAGATGGTTGAAGTGAGTGAGGTACATAATGACTAGTAAGACTGTAGTCGATCTAATCAATGCTGTTTGTCAAAAGATGGTGTATACATGTTACATGTGTTTGTCACTCTGGTGCATTAACATTCAAGGGTCATTTGGTTGGAAATTTTGATACCTGAGAATAATATGTTAAAAAACAATATACTTGAGAATTAGATAACAATTAAGTGGGTCTCGACCAAGTCCAAAAGTGGGGGAAGAGTGATTTTATAAGTAACGTGAAAGAATGAAATTTGTTTGTGACATAAACTAGTGGGTCTTCACTTTTAAGAGAAGAAATCATTGAAGAGGATGACCACATCACTCAGGGAGAATCTTGTAAGCACATTAGAAGAAAGTAGATCGGACCCCTCTTCAGAAGTGAGTGGAACTAGGTTGTCCATTAATGTAGTCATGCTAGATGGTTAAGTAACTTAAACGTGAGGTTATGTGACTGCATGAAAACAAGTCAAGAGTTGAGTTTAATGAGTTTAAGTGACTTTAGTAGATACATATTATAAAAGTCAGTCATGATGTGCTCGCAACTAAAAATATACTTTAGGGACAAGAAATCAGTTCTTTACCTTTTTTGGGTCAAGGTGGGTCTAAGTGAGCAACTCCTATTGTGTGGTGTTTAGACAAGATCATTCTAGACAAAAGGATTTCTTGTCAGTGATTTTTAATAAAATTTCTTAGAGAAAAGGGTTCTAAATGTAAGAGTATCTCAAGCAAGTGTTTAAAAGTGGAATAACATAAAATTATGATAAAGCTCAAATAGTTCATCACACTGCATGTGCTTGTGGGTTAGCTTTTGTTACACGTGGCTTTTAGGCAACACAAAGGTCATCACCACATCATGAGTTAGATGAGACATGATAGGTTGCTATCTTTGCGTAGCCAGGAAACCAGAGTCAGGTTCATTGACAAAATGGGATAGGACTAAGTAAAGTGTGAGGTGTCAAATGAGATATGTTTAAAAAACGATCCCAAATAAATAAATACACCATTTTCAACTAACCACACAATCATTAAACAACAGTTTAGAAGTTAATAACAAAATATCACAATAACATTATTGGTATTCTTTTAAATTGAGGGCTAACTTAAACATGTGAGTTTTTAGGGAGAAAAATGAGTCAATATTTATAGCCAAATCTTCACAACAATGATCTAACAATTAGTATATTTATAATAAATTATTTATTATACATTAATATTATGTTATTTTTATTTTTTTAAAAATGCCCCATTAATGACATTATTGAAACTTAATGCCAACTCTAACCCTACCTCTCCCGCTTTATACCTCATCTATCTGCAACGGATGCCCAATCCGGTTTGATCGATTCGATTTTACTCTATCGGTCCGGTTCGATTCAAAATCCATGGACCGAACTGCATATATATCCCGTAACGGCTATAATGTAACGCGCTCCTCATAGTTTGAATTTAATTCATTCATTTTTTTCGCTGTATTGACGAAGCAGGTCGTCGCCTTCTGCACGGAGAAAAAGGGGAAGAACCTCAATCGCACGTTTTTCCTCTCATTCTCTTCTTCCAATCTCCTCTATCTGTCTCTTTTAGTTCCCCATCCGCTATTGAAACCCTTGGAATTTGATAAAGACAACATACAAGATGAAGACCAAGACGCCATTGAAGCAGCTCAAGCTCTCTGTTCCCGCTCAAGAAACTTCTATCCGTTCTTTTCTGTAAGTTCGAATAAATTTTTTCTCTTTCTCTCGACTTAATCCTGATCGCTTGTTCTTCGTTTTAAGTGTTCGTTTTGTTTCAGTTCCTTGTAGCTACTAACTAATTGATCCGGTGAAAATATGCTTTTATGTGTTTTTCAGTGGAGGTTCGATTGAGTTGTAGTCGTAGTTTCTTGGAAATTAACGCTGTGACGAAGAAAAAGATATTTTAAGTGTGGCGAACTTATCTGTTGTTGACTGAATAAATTCAAATGACTTGTTTTATTGTTGTACTTTCCATTTCAAGTATTTCAAATTTCAGGAAGGGCAAAGCACATGATCTGTTCGATTTATTTTCTTTTTCGGTTTTAGTTGTCCGTTTTCCTTATTTCCGTCTCATAGGCTATTGTCGCAAAAACAAATCTCCGCTTCATCCTCTTTCTGATTTTGTTAAACTTCAGAACTGCGAGCGGAACATTTCACGACGGCAATCTGCTTTTGAACCAGAAAGGATTGCGGCTTGTATCTGAAGAGAAAGAAACGCAGGTAAGTTCGT